TTAATATTTTAATAACTTATTAAAAATAAAAATTGAAAATGTCGTTAAATAAAAATACTTTATTTATTTGTTTTTATTATGTTATCATTTTTTAAATAAATGGATACAATTTTTTTTAAAAGTTAAATTTTTTTGTTTTTGTTTTTGAAAAAAAAATATATATTTTAATTTTAATTTGTTAAATATGAAAATATAAAATTTAATTTAGAAAAAAAAAAGTTGAAATTAATTTAAAAAAATTTCGTTGTGTTTTTATTTATAAATTTTAATCATAAAATTTAATTTAAAAAAAATTCAAAAAAATAAATTTTTAACAATAAAATAAAAATTAATATTAAAAATACATTCAGATTTAAAAATAAAAACACATCATAAATAATAAAATTTCATAAAAAAAAAATTAAGAAAAAAAAAAAAAAAAACAATAAAATGAGCTCCCAAGATATATCAATTGAACATTAAACTTTACAAAAATACACCAAAACAATTCCTTTCTATTCCTAAACTATGATTCCTTTATTAAAAAAGTAAAATTCGTAAAACCAACCTGAAAAAGCATACATAAACACCAAATAAATGATAGATTAAATAATTAGCAAAATTCCATTTCCTTAAACCTAACCTGAAAGCCAATAGCACACCTTACACATGAAAAAGCTAGCCGAAGAGCAAGAGAAGATTATCTAATTAGCTATGATAGAAGGCTAAAAAAGCTCGAAAATAAAAAAAATGCCTTGTGACTATAACATAAATAGATCTGAACCCTTAATTTACTAAAATAAAAATTATTTTAACATAAAAACCTAATCAAACCAAAAATAAATTTTGCGCTAAAATACTAGTGTATATGAAAATAAGGAAAATAATTAATCTAATGATTTAAAAAGAAGAGGAATAAACAAAACAATTCAGAAAAATAAAAGTATAACTTCTCAAATAAATTAATTTTAAATAAATAATACTACAGATAAAGAACCACTTAGTTGTATTTAAAATAATGCTAATAATATTCCTTTTTTTAGGACTATAAATTCTTATAAAAACGATAATATGTAAAATGAACAAAACTTTACGTTAAATTGTTTTAATTAAGAATAAAATAATGATTTTGATGTTTTTTCTAAATGTATTTTTGAGAATGAAGATGAATAAAATAAACAGTTTTTTACTCCTTTTTTAGATAATTAATATTTAAACAATTATATGTCATGAAAAAAATATATTAATTTTTTTTTTCAAAAATAAATAAAACAATTAATAAATTATAAAAAATATGATTTTATTTAAATTTCACCATTTTTCCATATATAAAGTAGGTATTCCTATTATAAAATATAATAATATAATATAACTTAAAAAATTTTAAGGTTCTTTAGGAGCTGAATCGTGCATTTAATCAACTATTATTTAAAATAATAAATAATGTAATTTTTATTATAAAATACCTAATTCCATCAATTATTAATGAGCATTTTATTAATTAAATTTTATAACTTAGAAACCAGATCTAAATAAATATTCTATTTCTTTATATAAAAAATTATTAATAAATTAGATATTTAAATTTAGTTTATTTTAATTAATTTCTAAAAAGTTTTATTTAAAAACTTAAAAAAAGTAATAATTAAATATATTTATTATCGTATTTTATTATTCAATACATTTAAAAAAAATAATTAAAAAAATAAATATTAATACTATTATATATAAATATAATTATATACCTTTTTTATCTTATTCATTCAAATCGTTTATATTTTAATATTTATTTTTAATAATTTTTAAATAAGCTATATTTACTTATTCAATTTTAGATTCATACTTTAACAATTAGTTTATTTTATTATTTATTTATATATAAATACAAATATTTTTTTACATCTTATCCTCTATATACTTTTGGATGATAAACTGATACTTTATATGTATTTTTTTATAATTTATATATTTTTTTTAATATATATACGATTTTTAAGGTATTAATTATAAAGGTTTTTTATTGAATCTTCTTTTTATATTCTCAATAATTTATATTCATTTTCTAAATTTTCTAATTAATATTAATTATCATTATTATTATTATCATTTTTTTATTTTTCTGTTATATTTTACTAATGTTCATTATTATTTTATTATTTTATTTAATTTTAATCTTATTTTTAATTGTTTAAATTACTGAATAGCTAAATTCTGTGATTTTTTGTTAATTATTTATTTATTTTGCCTAATTATTTAATATATTTATTTATCATTTTTAATTATTTTTTTATAAAGATATTTTATATTAGTTTTTTTATATTAAAATAAAACTATATTATTTAAATTAATATTTAATATATAAAAATAAAAGATTATCAATTATTTATTTTATACATATCTTTTATATATTTCAATTTATATTCTTTCTTATTCCATTTAAATATTAAATAAATTAACTTGTATCTTAATTAGATTTTTTAATTGCTTATTCTAATTTTTCTGCGTATTTATTATAATTTTAATTTTTAAACCCATTATTATTTTCTTTACTTTATTATTATTTTTTTAAAATAGAGTCTTTTTAACTATATATAACTAAATTATTTTTTTATTCAAAATTTTTGATTTCTTTTTTTATTTAAACAAACTAATTTTTTTTTTAAAAAAAAAAGAATAATTTAAAAAATTACATCAAAGCAATCAATATTAATTTAAGCTTAACAAAAAATAATTAATTTTTAAGTTAAAAGGATTAATTCTCCTTATATATTTTTCAAATAAATATTTTCTTTTTCTAAATTTTAAATCTATTTATAAATAACATCATATTTATTATTTTTATTTTATTCCTTTTAAATTTCTTAAAATTTAAAATTGTGAATTTCAAGATCTTGATTAAATAAGAATTTATTTTTGCTTGAATTTTAGCAAATATCATTAAATTTTTTTAATTTTTAAATATTTTTTTCATCTAATTATATAAAGTAATTTTATTAATCATTTTTTTCAGTATTTCTACAACTTTCACATATACTTAAATTTTTTGATTTTTTTCTAATTTATATTTATGAATTATTTCTAGATTTACTTTTACATTATTATTAAAAACTTATATTTTAATTTTCTTTTTCTCCTTCTCTTAATATATTTCTAACCTAAAAAGGCTTTTTTTTTATTTTAAATATTTTTTTTTTTTATATTTAAATAAAATACTATATCAAATTTTGATAACTTAAGCAAATTTCCTTCAGGTGGTACTTTAGAAAAAGGCTCATAAATTTAATTATTATTTAACATATTTAAAAGTAGATTAGAATACATATTCCTATTTTATTTCCATACTATATTATAAACAGCTTAAGAAAGTTATTTAATCCACAAATTAATTCTTATTTGTTCATGTTTAGTAAAATTTTTTAACAATGATTAAATTTATTATAAGTTTTATGAAAATTCTTAGTCTAAATTATTTTCTGTATGCTTTTCTGATATATTCGAACAATTATTACTACCAAAGCTTTATTAATCTAAACCTTTAGAATATGTATTTTTTTTTTACCGAGAAAGATTTCCTGGTAGAGTTTGATATTATTATAATTATATTTATAATGTGTTTTGCATTTTTTTAAATAAAATAATAATTTTTTTTTATAAAAAGTAAAATTTTAATAAATATATAAATATTAATATTATAAAAATACTATTAATTATAATATTAAAAAATACATTCATTTAATTATAAATTTAAAAAATTATTTTTTTTTGTCTTTTTTTGGCTTCTAAAAAAAAGTTAATAATAATTAAAAATAACTTTTTATATAAATGACATTTTTATCATGTTTAATCAGAAAATTTAAAAAAAATTACGTTTAAGTAAGAAATTTTACCGTATTTTTATCTAATTTACTTTATTTTAAAATCCAGTTGAATTATTTTTCTGCCTTATAATTTTTTTTACTATTTATTTTAGTATATTATGTTTCGATTCTAATTATTTAATTTTTATCTCAAACTATTGAATCCTCATAAATTATATTTTAATTTTATTATTAAAGTTTTAAGTTATTTCTTTTTTTCTTTCTAAATTTTCAATTTTTCTTCTTAAATCTTCCTTTTTTTAATGGACCTAATTTATTTTCTTTCTAGCTTTACTAATATTTTTCCTATTTTAGATTATTCTGTTAAATATCGAAATTTAGAGAACTTTTATTATTACATGACTATAAAAAAAATGTTAAATTTAATTACACATTTGAAATGAAATTTATCGACACGAAAAATATGTTAATTATTTTTTGGCTATTTTTATAATAACTTAAAACCATAATATTTAAACTTTTGAGTAGTATATAAAAAATTATTTTATTGCATTTTACTTATTTTAATATTTTAAAGGAGAATATTAGACTAAAATTAATTGAAAAAATATATAAACTTATTTAAAAAAACTTTGGGAAATATCTAATATTAATTTTATTACTATATTAAATTTTGAATGAAATATATATAATTAAATAAAATAAAATTTTAAATACTAAATTCATTAAAATTTAAAACTTAATAATTAAATTATTTAGTAGTATATTTATAAAAAAAAATAATATAAATAGAAAGAATTAGGAATTATTTATTTTAATCATAATAAAATAAATATTATATTTATATAAATATTTTAATTAAAATTATTATTTTTCTTGATTTAATTCTTAAATATATTCAATATATATAAATAATGTAATATTAACATAATTTTTAATTATTTAAAATAAAATTTAATTATAATAAAAAAAATGGGAACTTGCTGTTCAGCTTAAGAATATTAAAATTTTATAGACAAATAGAATTTACCATAATATTTAACATAAGAAACATTATAAAAAGATTACATATAGCAAGAATTAACTTAGTAATCCCAATCTTTACAAGAAGATACGTTAGAGATAAAATTCAAAAATACTCCATGTAAAAAGCTTTTATATATAATATTATTACTTATTTTATTAAAAAATTTAGTAAAAATGATAGAAACAAAAGCTGAAGAAATAATAAAATCGGAAAAAAAAGAAGAAGAAGAAGAAGAAAAAAAAACTGAACTTGAAGGTAAAACCATAAAAAAATAAAATAATAAATAAATAAATATAGATTACTAATTTAAAAAACATGTAAAAACCCTTGAAGAAGCTTATTATAAATCCCAATGCCTAAAAGACATAATAACTAAAAATGGTTAAAAATTAACCCTAGCAATACAATAACTAGAATATATTTTAAATACATTATATCAAATATGTGTTTTTCCTGAATAAATAAAAATAATCGAAAGCGATTTAATAGGGTTATATGGCAATATGTAAATTTTTCGTTCTTTTCATTTAAGATTTACATTAGAGAATATTTATTATGAAAATTTAAATGATATATAGAACCTATACACATTTTTCAAATAAGTTAATGAAAAAGAGTTTAAAAATAATGAATTTGATATCACATAGTTCTTACTTAGTAATAAAACTTTCGAAGATTTATATTTTTAAACATAAACTGTTCGAAAAGTTTTCAGTAATATAACTGAAACTAATTTTTGTACTTTTCCGAATTATTTATTTTGTACATTAAATGAAAAAAGAGGTTTTTAAACATGGAATAAACTTTTCCCGAATGAATTCGAAAGCACAAACATTCATTTTGCAGAAATTTACTCTTCCTATTGTCAAATACAGGTAGACAAAATACTCGAAGTAATTTAAATTTTAGATTGGTAAAACGATAAAAGGATTGACATATATTAATTCATTTAATTTATAAAAGACTTTGAGTATTATTTCGATGAAAGCGATAAAATAATCGAAAATAAACTGGAAAATTTCCAACGAGAAATAATCCTAAAAGCCCGTATATAAAAAAAAGCACCTGTACTAAACCCTGACGGTTCCTACACATTATACTCAGGAATGCTCTATTTTGGTGAATTTGATCCATTTTATTAACGCACAGGTCCAGCAATTTTAAAAGACAAAGACTATTTTTTCGAAGGAATTTTTCAAAACGACTTCCCAACAGGAAAGGGCAAAGAAATTAGAAATAATATTATATATGAGGGTTATTTTTTGGATGGATTTTACGATGGGGAAGGTGTCTTACTTTTCCCAAATGGCCGAAAATATAGTGGGAGTTTCAAAAAGCATTAATTTCATGGAAAAGGTGAATTATTAAATGATGACGGTGTAATTTTTGCCGGAAACTGGGTTAATGGTAGTTTATAGATTGGAATTATTAAATATCATGACGGTTCTTATTATACAGGAGGTTTGAAGTATAGTTTTTTAAAACATGGTAAGGGTTAATTTTTTAATTACGATGCTTTTCCGCTTTATGATGGAAAATGGGTCGATGATAGACCCAAAACAGGTAAAATTTATAATTTTTGGGACTATGGTGTTGTTTTATATGAAGGAGAATTCGAAAATTATGCCATTTAGGGCCAAGGAGATAGGGTATATAAGGAAGGTACTTATAAAGGGCATCTTTTCAGGGATAATAAGTAAGGAAAAGGTGAGTTTTTTTACAAAGATGGGTCAAAATATGAAGGTGAATGGGTTAATGATATGTAGTTTAAAGGTACTTTTTACTATAATATAAATGATTAGGAGTTTAATTATAAGGGGGAATGGAAAAACGGATAATAAGAAGGGTATGGGAAACATTAGTATCCGTCCGGAGGTATATATGAGGGGTATTTTAAAGCTGGGAAAAGACATGGTTTTGGAATATATAATTATTCAAATGGGAATAAATATTAAGGAAATTGGTAAAATAATTAATAAGAAGGAGACGGGAAATTCATTTTTATAGGTGAAACTTAAGGTAGTTAAGGTGATGTTTATAAAGGATAATTTAAATAAGGAAAATTTTAGGGATTCGGACATTATTTATATAGAAAATAAATGAAAACTTTTACTGGTATTTTTTTATTTAAATATTTTTTTTTAAAAAATAGAATAGGTTTTTGGGAAAATGATACATGGAAAGGTAAAGGTATAATTAAAAGTATTAATAATAATACAATTTTAAAATGCGGAGTTTGGGAAAATGAAAAGTTTATTAATGAAGTTGATGAAAAAGAACTTGATTTTCCTGAAAATTGGTAGAAATATACTAATTTAAATGAATGATTGATTTTATTATAAATATTTTGTATATTTTTGATTAAAAAATTATTATATATTTGTAAAATTTATAATATAGAAAAAAAATTATGTAAAAACATTTTTAAGATAAATTGTATATAAAAAAAAAAAAAACAAAATTAATAACTATTAAAAATATTTAATATTTATTATATAAAATTATTAAAAATAATGAAAACTTTATAAATGAAAAAATGAATAAATTATAATTAAATCATAATTAGAAACAACAAATATATATATATATATATATATATATATATATATATATATATATATATATATATTTATATATTTTATTATTAAAACTTATACTTATTTGACTTTTTTTATTTTTTAAAAAACAAAAATTTAATGTTTTTTTTTTTTTTTTTATCTTTAAAATTAAATAACTAGAATTAAGTAATAATTATACAGTATATATATATATATATATATATATATATTACAATTTTTTATTTTATTATATTTTTTACATTTATTTTTTTATTTTACTTATCATCTAGAAAGTTATCTTAAAAAAACAATAATTATATTAAAAAAATAAATTTTTTTTTTATATAATAATAAATTAAAATTATTAACAATGGAAAATATTTAATAATTATTTATAAAATTATATATATTTTATTTTTATTATGTAAGAAATTAATAATATTTATATACAATAAAATATTTTTTTGTACTAAAAATATAAAATCTAAAACTACTATAAAAAAATAAAACAAAAATGTTTTTATGTAAAAATATAGTTTAAGTATTTATTACAAACAAACAATAATTAAAAATTTCTAATAAATAATTTGCTTAGTAATAAATAAAAAAACGCAATATATAAATTTTTTAATGAAAAATAATATAAAAGATATATGGAAGATTTATATAAAGAGTTTGATGATAGACGAAAATAAGCAGAAAATATTTTTAAAGGAGAATATGAAACGGCAAATATGAAACCTGAATAATTAAATCAATATTTATGGAAAGAAGCGGAAAAAGAATTTGAAGAAGCTCAAACTCTAGCTGATAATTATGATGCAATAATAGAAGGCAAATAATAATATGAAGTAAAACCATTCAGACTCTAATTAATATTTCGAAGAGTACTAAATAAATTTAAGCTAAATTTAAAAAACTAAAGTAAAAGTATATAATAATCTGATCAGTAATGGTTATAAATGTACGAATCAATGAATTTAAAAAGAAAAGAAAAGATGAATATCTCTAAATTATATTTAGATGAGAATTTCTAGAATTTACCTGATAATATTCACGAACTTTTAAAAATGAATAATTTATAATCATTTTAAAAAGCTATATTAGTTTATTAAGATATTTAATATAAAAAATAAAGACATGAAGAAATTTTAAACATTAAATAAGAAGAAGTATAATATTAATAAATATATATTATTTGTATTAAATATAAATATATATATATATATATATATATATATATATATATATATACAGAAAACTAAATTAGATGAATAATTAGCAGAATTATAAGAAAAAGTAATGGACTTAGATGGAGAATTGTATATGATAAATGATTCTTATTCTAATTTCAAAAATAAAATTGATAAAGAAAACTAAAAAAATAAAAATTTTGTTCTTTCAAAATTCACTAAGGATGTTTTAGAAGTATAGGATAATTTATTAAGGTCTTTAGAAGCTTTTTAAAAACACGAAGATATAAATAATGAAGTATATTAAGGTATTTTTTTAAAAAAAAACCTAAAATAAAAGTATACATTATTTTTTTAGATGTAAAAGATACTGCGCAATAATTAGTATAAAATCTTGCCTTTTTTGGAATACTCTAAATAAATCCTGCTTAAGGAGAAAAATTCGACCCTAATTTACATGATGCACTTTGTAATGTCCCTGATAACACTCAAGAAAGTGGAACTGTTGCTTTTGTTGGATAAATAGGATATAAAATTAATGAAAGAATAATAAGACCTGCTAAAGTTGGTGTTTATTCTAAATAATGAAAAATATATAATATTTATAAATAATATTTTTTTTAATACATTTTTTTTTTTTTTTTTCTATATATAATTTTTTCAAAAAAAAAATGTTTAATTATTTTTTATAAATAAAAAAAATAAAGTCACACACAGAATAAAAAAGTCTATATTAGTTTTATAAAATTTTTATATATAATTAATTATTTTTTTAAGTTCAACATTTTATTTTATTTACTTTAAAGAAAATACATTATTATTTATGTAAATAATATACTGTATAATTTACTACATTATTTACTAAATGTTAAAATTTGAAGTGGCCTTAATTATAATTTATAATATATTTAAGGTGTATTGCAAATTATTTTTAATATTTGAAACTTGTATCAAGAAATATTAAAACCTTATTATGTAAAATATTTCTTTTCTTTTAGCTTCATTTATATTTTTTTTATTTTAAATATTTTTTAATATTATTATTATTAAAAATAAAACAAATATCTTTTAAATATATAAAAAATAAGATTTTAGAAATAAAATATTTTTATTTAGTCTATTAAAAATATTTATTTATTAAAATAAATAAAAAAACATGAGTAATTACATATTTGAGCTCTTCAGTGAAATAGACTATGATTAAAAAGGCTTTATAATTAAAAAGGATATCAAGAAATTCCTTACAACCTTAAATTATCCAATTATACCAAATTAAATACGCCAAATATTCTAAGAAGGTGATTTAAATAACGACAATAAAATATAAATAGATGAATTTGAGCAATTATTTACAAACTAGAAGTCCAAAATTTAATAAATCTTTGAATAAATCGATTTAAATAATGATGGTTATTTAAACCGCGAAGAAATTATGAAAACTTTCCAAAAATAAAACTTTTCAGATTAATAAATCGAGAAATTAGTCTCAGTCCTAGATTTTGATAAAGACAATCATATTTCATTAAAAGAATTCGTTAAATTCTATTTCCTACTTCCTTCTGAAAATATTAAAGCTCTTTTTGACATTTGGGAGCGTGCTTCGGAAATTAATAACCAAGAATTCGTCTCTATTCCTATAGAAAAAGATAATAAAGTACCCACTTAAGACATTCTTATTGCAGGAGCAGTCGCAGGAGCATTTTCAAGAACTGTCACAGCCCCTTTAGACCGATTAAAAACACTTATGTAATCTTAAACTAAGGAAAATAGTATTGGAATAGTGAAAGGGTTTGTAAATATATATTAAAAATAAGGCATTAAAGGCTTCTTTAGGGGTAATGGCACTAATGTGATTAAAATAGCTCCCGAAACTGCATTTTAAATGCTTTTATATGATAAAATAAAAGCCATAGTTTCATCTGGTAGATCAAAACAAAGTCCTTTTGAAATGTTTTTATCCGGTAGTCTAGCAGGTATTTCCTCTACTGTTTTATTTTTTCCTATAGACATTGCAAAAACTAAGTTAGCATTAACAGATTCTTCGGTTTATAAAGGACTTTTTGATTGTGTATAAAAAATAAATAAATAAGAAGGTCTTAAAGGGTTATATAAAGGAATTTTACCAACATTATATGGAGTTATTCCTTATGCGGGAATAAATCTAACTACTTATTAACTTTTAAGAGACTATTATATATAAAATTGTACTGAAAGCCCTTCACCGATAGTACTTATGGGATGTGGGGGTATTTCTAGTTTATGTGGTTAAGTTTTTGCTTATCCATTTTCTTTAGTTAGGACTAAGTTGTAAATGTAAGGTATTCCAGGATTTAAGTAATAATATGAAGGGATGGGAGATTGCTTTATAAAAGTGTTTAAATAAGATGGATTTTGCGGATATTTTAGAGGAATTTTACCATGTATCATGAAAGCTATGCCTGCTGTATCATTAAGTTTTGGAGTTTTTGAGTATATAAAAAAAGAATTAAAATAATAAAGAGAAGAAAAATGAAATATATATATATATATATATATATATATATATATATATATATATATTATTATATATATTATATATATTAATATATTTTTTTATTTTAAAATATATATTTATATTTAATTCATTGTTTATTTTTTTTTCAATATAAATGTAAAAAAATTTATAAATTAATATTATATAAAAAAAAATTATAGATTTTATGTTTTTTTTTTTAAAAGAAGAATAATATATATAATAAATAAAAATATAAATAAATTTAATTTTTATTATTTAAATATATAAAATAAATATTATAATATATTAAATTACTTACAATATTTTTATAAAAAAATAAATTAAAAATTATTATGTTTATATTTTATATACAAGAAAAAACTAAATTTAAAAAATTATAATAAATATAAAAAAAAAATAAAAATAAAATTAGAAATAAAATAAAAGAAAAAAAATAATAAAAATAATGTTAAAAAAGTATAGAGAATTATTTATTATAAAAAAATTTATTATAATATTAAAAACAAAAATCAAATTTTATATATATATAATATATAAATTTTCTTATTAATATATATATATTTTTATATATATATATATTTTATATTTTTTTTAATTTATATATAAAGATATTCATTATTTTTTAATTAAAAAATATTAAATAAAAAATTAAATAATTAAAATAGAACAAATTCATAAAAAAAATTTTAATAATTAATAAAAGATTTATTTTTATTTTTTATTTATAAAATTAGCTAACTATTGATAACCTCAAAAGAATCCATCAATAATCCATTAGTTTCTTTCTTCATGATGATAATGAGTTCTGACATCAAAATCTTTACCATATCCATTACTTCCATCATTTGCATAGAAAAGTTTGTGATTATTATCTGTTGCAGAACTAATAATGCAAATATTTCCCTAAACAACATCGATTTTCCAATAATTTCTTTATTCTTTATGAGTATGTGTTCTTACATCGAAATCATCGTTAAATCCTCTTACTCCATCATTTGAACAGAAAATGTAGTGATCAGGATTAACTTATGGTCTAATAGTGTATAAGTTACCATCAACTTTATCTAATATGAAGTTATTTCTTTATTCTTTACTAGCATGTGTTCTAACATCAAAATCTTATCCATAAGCTCTATGTTAATCATTAGAAACAAATAAGTAATGATCTTAATGTAACATAGGTCTAATAGTGACTACACATTAATAAGGTACGAATGCGTCAATTAACCATTTATTTCTTTCTTCATGATGAGTATGAGTTCTAACATCAAAATCTTAACCATATGCATTACTATTATCATTTGCAGCAAATAAATGATGATTAGGATTTTGAGCTGAACTAATAGTATAAACACCCTATTAAACTTATTAGATTTTCCAATGGTTTCTTTTTTCATTATGATTATGAGATCTTACATCGAAATCACTACCAATTCCACGAACACCATCATCTGAGCAAAATATGAAATGGTCAGGGTTTGTTGAAGATCTTATAGTGTAAACGTTATCATATTAATGATCTAAAATTAGATGGTTACGGGCTTCACTGCTAGTGTGTGTTCTGATGTCGAAGTCGGAGTTATAGTTTCTATGGCTATCATTAGATACAAATAGGAAATGGTTTTAGTTTAAGTATGGCCTGATTGTTACGTTTTGGGATTTATGGTTGTGCATTTTTATTTATATTTTTAGGATTTTTTGTTTTTATTTTTATTATTTATTTTATTATTATTTTTTTTATAATATATATATATCATGTGCTACATTTATTATTTGTTTATTTTCTAATTTACCTGATAAAATTTTTTTTTCTATTTATCTATTATTCTAAATTATTTTATCTAATATATACAAAAATTCGAGTTTAATTTTATTTATAATTAATATCAATTAATAAACTTAAAAACAATAACTAATTAAAAAGAAATAAAGAAAATTATTAAAAAATAAATAAAATTTTATTAAATATTACAAAAACTTCTAATTTATATAAAATTAATTATTTATAATTTTTTTCAAAAAAGAAAACAATATAACGAACTATGATAAAAACATTTTATCAAACAAAATCTGTATCCGATTAATTCATTTTTTCTTTATTTACATGAATTTTTACATCAAAATAAATTCTGTAACACTTTAATCTATTATCATTGCTAAAAATATATTATTTCCAAAAAAAAAATTATTATGAAATAAAAATATTCTTCTATTAGTATAAATAATAAAATTTTAAATTATTTTGAATAATATGAAAAAAAGTTTTATATTTTTAATATTATTTCATATTCACATTGATATATTAATTTGTTATAAATATATTAATATAAATATTTATTAATCATAAATAGACACATTAATTTATTATTTTAGTTTTTAATATTATTTATATTTATTGATGAATAAAATATGAAAATGTTTTGATTTGTAAATGGAATTATGATAAAATTGTATAAAATAAATGTTTTTTAACTTAAAATTTTAATTTATAATGAAATTATAAAATAAAATAATATTTTTCATATATTGTTTGCAAATTAGTTTATAACAAAATAAAATAAAAATATTTATATAGTATAATTATTTATAAAATAAATATATATATATATATATTTATATTAATATATGTATTATAAAATATAATCCTTATATATATATTATAATTTTGTAATATTTTTTTATCGAATTCATTTAATTAAATTAAGTTATATTTTTTTTATTTTTATAAAACTAATATAATATTTCTTTTTTATTTAAAATTAATAAATAATATTATAATAAAAAAAAATATTAAACAAATGTTATTAATTTAAATGAATGATTATAATTATTATTATTTATAAAATTTATTTAAATAACACTTAAAAAATATAAATTTTATTTCACAAAAATATTAATTTTTTTTTTTTTAAAAAAAAAATCTAATTTTTTAAATTTATTTTATTAAAATAAAAACTAAAAAACATTTGATAAAAATTATTATTTAAAAAGAATAAGTTTCATGAAATTAAAACTTTCTACATAAAATTACTTTCATGATTTGAACTAAAGACAAATAATATTCATAATTACTAATATATATTTTTAAATAATTTTTTTTATTACTCTAACATAAAAATCATTATTATTTGTCTTTAATTCATCATTATAACAAAAAACGTAATAATCAAGTTTATTATAAAATCTTTTATAAAATTATATTTTTTTTCATTATATTTTGGATTCATTCTGATTTCAAGGCTTTATATAAATATATTAATAATATTTAAATGACTTATTTGTAGAGTATTTAAGTTTTATGTATAGCATTAGTAACTTTTTTAAACTTATAAAGGTAATAACCGCTTAAATTATATTTTTTGTTAGTTTTATTATAATATAATATTATAAAATATTTATTTATTAAAAGATTAACTTTTCTTTAATAAAGTTTATCGATTTTTTAATAAAAATAATAATAATAATATAGATTATATTATTTGAAAATAAATAAAAATTATCAATAATATATAAATTATATAGTATGAATTCTATATCCAACTCACTTTCATAATATTTATTTCCATAAATTATAGAAAATATATTATATTTTGAATTTGTAGCTCAAAGACCATTGAATAATCAGTAGTGCAATAAATGAAATATTTTTGTATGTATGAAAGTCTTAGAAAAATAAACTGTTGAACCCCTTTTCGACTTACTCTATATATAAATTAATTCTTTACAAAAACTTTTTATTAAATACTTATATAAAAATTTGTCTTTGAAAAATCGGAATTTTGAGTTTTTGTTAATATCATAAAGTTATTTATTTTATAAAAATACATAAATAATATAGTAATTTTATATTAAAATTTAAAATATTAAATAATACATATAATTTTTGTTTATTATTTTAATATATTTCTAATAATTATTATTTTTAAGATAATAATATTTTATATTTATAATAATAATGACGCAAGATTTTCCAAATAATTAAAATACATATATATAATATTTTTTTAGATTTTATAAATTATTTTTCTTTAGTTTTTTTTCTAATAATATTTTTTATGATTTTCATTAGTTGTTTATTCCAGACCAAACTCCTTTTTTAAGATATTAATTAATTATATTACTTGAATGTTACATAATTACCTCAGTTGTTAATCTTAATTAATGACATTTGCACTTATGAGCAGAGTACATGAACAAAGACCATACTTAGGTTTTTGAGAATATTCTGGCTATTTGCTTTTCAATGTCCAACTTTATTTTCAAGGTTTGATTTAATGCATTTTTCTATAGAATTTCTAGATATTCTTATTTTAAGTTTTTAGGGACATCCGAAATTTAAAAAAAAGAAATTCGTAAAAATATAAAGATAAAGTAAAATAAAAAAAAGTGAATTTGACAAATATATAATTATAAAAAAAATATTAGTTTTAATTTATTTATTATAACGAAAATTAAAAATAATTTATAAAATTTTATAATACTAATAAATTACTTCAAAAATATATTAAAATGATTATAATATATTTTGTTTTATTTTAGAAATGTGAAATTATTATTTTAATTTAGATATTAAATTATTTTATCTAAACGAAGTAAATTAACGTCATAAATTTTTTATTATCTAAATAAAATAAAATATTATACGTAATTAATGAAAATATTTGGAAATTTATTAAAAGAAAATTACAAATTTACCTTTAATAATATAATAATTAATTTATAATTTTATAAAAAATTTAATACACTAAAAAAAATAAAAATAAAATTTAAAAATATTTAATAAATTTATAATTTTAAATTTTTTTTTTTTTAAAAAAAAATAAAAATATAAAAATACAACAACAATAAAATAAAAAATATGGAAGAAAATTATTAAATATAACTTCAAGATTTAAAAATCGACTCATTAGAAACAATCCAATCAAAAATCGATAATCATGCCTTAAAAGCCTTCAACTAAAAAGAACACATAATAATCGGTATAAGTCCCGCTAATGGTTACTTCACCTACGAAATAATCGAAAAGCTAACCACATGGGCTCTATCTGAATTCAACAAAGTAACTTTTATAGACCCTTCTGATATATACAGATACACCCTAAACGCAAGAGAATCACCCGGTGTAGACTCTTAAATCGAAAAAGCCACTAAATAATTCCAAAAGAAGGTAAAATAAGCTTTAAAAGTATACCTTAATATCTCTTAAATGGAAGAAATGGACAAAATATATGATGAAATAAAACTACTAGGTACAAAAATGGAATTTTGGTAAGATAGAATATAAATAATAACGTGTTTTGATCTATTAGCAAGTGAGGGATATAGAAATAGTTTACGAAAAATAGAAGAAGAATTCGAAAACGATATGGAGTTTAGAAATGCGTGTATAGATTTTACTAAAACGAAGCTTTTATTAAAAAAACCAGTTTCGGAATCTAATGCTTTATTAGGAGTGAAGTATTTATTGTATGAACTACCTTTTATTATTAATGGTGAGGAGGTTTTTAATGTAAATTCTTCAGTTGATTTTTATCATAAAAGTTCGGATATTTATTATTAGATTTTAAAAGGGGAATTTAAAGGAGTTAAATGTGGAAATAATTCTGGAAATTTTTTACTGGAAATTAAAGGTGTATCAGAAAATAATATTAATTAGTAGAAAAAAAATAATTAGTAGTTTATTTAAGAAAATAAAAAAGATTAAATCTAAAATGCTCTCATGAAATTCTTTTAGCCTTTAGGTAATTAAATATGCTAAAAATTACAAAATGGACTCAATAATGAAGATATTAAAATTACTTATGGACTTCCTTCAAAAGAAAATGCTTATGAAGATAATATTATAAATGTTTGGGTACTTATGGATAATAAAAATCCACCTTAATATAATCTAACTGTTAAAGTAATGAAAGAGGAAATGAAAATAATGAGAGGAGTTGTACATTAATTAATGAATTACTTGGATGTAAGTTATAGCCTAAAATAATGGAATTATAAAAGTAAATCTTAAATAAACAAATTTTAAAGTCGATAGTTAGTAGATTGAAAATATAATTACAAATATAAGTTTTTAATGTGTTGAAGAAAACGATGATGAAGATTATTGATAAAAAATATTATAAATATAAAAAAAAATCATTTATTTTTTCTATATTATTAATTTTAATATTTTTTATAATTATTTTTTTTTATTTATTTTTCTAATTATTATTATTATTATATTTATTATTATATTTATTATTTTTATTAATATTATTATTGTTATTATAATCATTATAATATTATTATTCTTATAAAAAATATTTATTATATTTTTATAATTAATAAAATTTTTTCTATAAATATAATTAATATATTTTTCCTTTTATTTATTATTTTAATATATGAAAATAATTTTTTTTTATACAAATTTTATATTATTTATTTTTATACTTTATATCAAAATATAATTTTTATATCATCTATAAAATTATCTTTATTTTTAAATAAAACAATTTATTAAATAAAAAACACATTTATTAGAAAAATATATATTAAAAAAAATAAAAAAACACAAATATTTATAAAACACAAAATTTAATAAATATTTATATATAAAAAAACTAAATATATAATATATATTAAATAAATAAAAATGAATTCATATAGATTTTTCACATAACATGATTAATACTAAACTTAATCTAGTTTTCAATTATTAACAAAGAAAATCTAGAATTCTCCATTACAATTAACTGAATAAGAAAATATGTATTATAACTAATAAATAAACTCCTAATAATCCGAAATGATACCTAAAAATAACTCACAATCTAATTTATATTAAATAATTTAAAATACTTCTAATAATAATTAAACTTAATAATTAAATTCTCTTTAAAAAATCCCTTAAAAATAAATATAAAAATATTTAGATTATTCTCCTTAAAAAAATTAAAAATACTACAAATTTTTAAAAATAAACTAAAAACAAACGAATTAAATTGAAAATCTTTTATAATATAGAAACATTTCATTTATAAATAAATAATTAAAAAAAAAAAACAATAATACTACATAAACTCCTCTTTTAAAACAATCAGAAATCGAAAATATGCAAAAAGCCTAAAAAAATCACTAAAATATATACGTAAAAATGCTCAAAGAAATCGAAATTCCTTATTAAAAAGATATTTCTAAAATACGGGAATAACTACAAAAAAGCTAATTTTAATAAATAAATTAAGTAAAAGGTTTAAATAAGGATTTTTTCATGAACTTATTGCAAAAAAATATCCGAAAATAGTACTAAAACTTAAAATTTAAATCAAGTAGACTACCTTCTAATAGATAAGAGGTTGAAACATTAAATTAATGGTTAAATGAGATGGTTTTAGGTATTTATAAAGACTCTAAATTATCATCAATTGAGATTTTCGGTAAATTATATGCCGTTTATGAAGCTTGTTTTTAAGAAATCGTTCGATAAATTTCCATTGAATATTCTGAGAGAGGCGATTTGTTAAAGAAAGTAATTGAAGGTTTAAATCAATTACATTGGAAGGTATTAGAGGAATAAAAAATGGAAACAAATGATATTGAGGGCGAATTTTTGGCAGAAAGTACTCGAATTCATAAGATGTATAATCAAGAAGTGTCGATTTTAGAAAGTTAATTAAATAAATACAAGAAAGAAGTTGATATTTATAAAAAAAAAGAGGAAGATTATAAAAAAAGTATAATTTATTTGAAAAAAAATAGATAGAATGTAAATAATTTAATAAGTATTTAAGATCAAGAGAAAATTCTTTTAAAGGAAAGTATATAAACACTAGAAAAAGCTTATAATAAATTAAAAAGATAATTTTATGTAGTAAAAGGAGAAAATGATTGGGAATCATCTTTTTATGAAATGTAAAATTTTTTAGAAATTTAAAAAAAAATAAAGAATTTAAATAATTAAAAAAACTATCTAAACGAACAGAATGAATATTAAGAAAATTAAGAAAATTCAATATTTTTTTTAGACGATAAATAAACAGATAATTAAGAAATGCTAAACTATTTTAATAAAAATATAGAAATTTAAACAATAATTAATTATAATGAATAAGATTAATATAATAATTTATAATAAAAAAAAGAGATAGAAAATCAAATACATATAGGCATTTAAACAGAGGAAAAAGTACAAAATAAATAGATAAAATATAAAATATAAAAAAATATATAAAATAATAAATGTAAAAATATATATATATATATATATATATAATATATATATTTATATATATATATATTTTTTTAAATATATTTATTTATATTTCTATATATGTATTTCATTATTTATTTCTATATATATTTCATTTTATATTTCATTATATATTTTTCTATAAAATATATTACTACATTTATATAAATACATATATTTATTTATAAATTATTTTATTTATATATTAATTTTTTAAAAATTTTATTAGGATATATTTTAATTAAATTACCAATAATTTTTTGCGTACTTATAGAATTCTTTAAAAGATGAAATTTTAATAGAACTTGAAAATAAATTTTAAAAAAACTTGTTAGACTTTCAAAAGTTTATTGAAAAACAAAACATAAACTTTGATTTAAGAAAATCTATTTTCTAATTTTAAACTTCAATCGAAAACTCATTTAATTAATTATTTGAAATTTCTCATAAAGAAGTTCTTCTTCAAAATATTTTTTAATAAGAAAATCTTGAATTAAAATTATAATTTAAAGAAATATCAAACAATTTATATTAATTTTAAAAACAAGTTGAAATCCAAAAAATTTAAATTGATATTTTTTTAGATGAAAAATCCAATTTAGAAAACCAGCTTTAATTTTTTAGACGAAAACATAAAAAACTACTTAGTAAATTTCAAAATAACAAACAATTTATGTCTGAAATATATTCTCAAACTTAAAAAGTGGCTTGAAGTATATAATCATCACCTTATTTAAAACCTTAAATATTAAAAATAGAACCAAAATAATAATAACTAGATAACCAAAAATAATAAAATTTAACAATAATCCTCTAAAATTTAATACAAAAAGAAATCAAAAGTGATTAAAGCTCTGAAGAAAGTATTTGCGAAAAAAAACAATATTAAATTTAGAATTATCAAAATAAAAAAAATCTTCTAAAAAAAATAATAGTAATTCCCAATAACTGAAATCCTTAAAACCAAATAGAGATTAAAAAAATAAATAAAATTTAATATATTCAATGTATTTATTAAATAAAATCAAAAAAAAATGAATTCATATAAACCTAAACTAACAATGACTTTAAAAAATATTATTAAATACATAGTGTGTATTTTAAATGAAAGAATAAAACTAAATACATAAGATCCTCCACATTATATTACATATGAATATTTCTCTTCAATTTTTGGGCTTAAATCTGTTACAGATAATAAAATTCTTCTATTTTATGAAGGTAAAAACCCATATATATATATATATATATATATATATATATATATATATATATATATATATATATTTATATATTTATAGGTATTTTTTATTATTAACATAAATCCCCTAAAGCCAAACTTTTTGGTAGATTTTTAACTTTGTTTGATAATTTAAGTATAAATGATTTTGATTATTATATCTAAACTTTAAAAAAAATCGATTCAGAAACTCCTTCATATCTTCCTGTTTTAAATAATACCAATGAAGTTTTATACGTAGCTTATGATAAAATTACATGTAAAACAATTTAAAACAATAACTAAATTATATATATAAACAAAAATAGAATTAATTCAATAAATGGAAGAAAAAATTACCAAAACACAGGTAGAATTATTAATTGGAAACGTTTAAAATTTTAAAAAATCACACAAAAAACACTTTTAAGGTATAATAGACTTTGATATTGCCTTCCTTATATTACTTGAAGGATATAAAAGTGTTAAAAACACCTCAAAAGAGATAAAAACATTATTTCTTTCTGCTGATTTAGATATGAATAATATGTTAGGGTATTACGAGTTCATATGCTTATATAAATATATAGAAGAGACTAGCTCTGAGAGCGCTTTTGAGGCAGGAAAACTTTTTTTGGAAAAATGTGATATGAAAAATTAAGAAAACGACGAGAAAAGTATATCTTTAGATAATTTTTTGAATTTATGTATAGAAAATTCCTGGTTTAATAATGAAAAAATAAACCAGTTTATAAAAGATATGGACATAAATGTATTACGTGAAAGTAAAAATATTTAATAAATAAAGGCAAGATTTTATAAGGCAGAGAAATTTACGCCTTTCATACAAGATGTAATTGAAAAATTAATAAAAGGAATTAAAAATATGAATGTAGGAGATGAGAAATTATGGATTTAATATAAAATTCTAGATATGGAAAGTAAATATGAGATTTTATAAACTAAAATTGAATATTATTTACCATCTTAATTTCTTTAAATATAAAAAATATCGAAAATTAT